GCGATGGAAATTTCTTAATTTCATACCCCCTCCTTTCTAATAGTTGGTATGTTTCTTATTATTTTCCTTATGAAGATAGACTCTTGGAATGTTCGAGGTCTAAATGACCTTGTAAAATGTAGTCCTGTTAGAGATGGTATTTCCTTCGCTGGTCTTGACATAGTTGGTATTCAAGAATCCAAACTCAATTCTATTCGTCCCTCTACCATAAAAAGTTTAGGCAATAATATAATAACATCTTGGCTTAGTTTAGAGGATTCAGATTCTAGAGGTGGTGTACTTTTGGGTTGGAACGATTCTATGTTTGACTTTATTGATTCGTATATTGGTATTTTTTCCATATCATCGATTCTCTGTCATAAATCCATCAATTGGAAATTCATGGTTTCAACTGTCTATGCCCCCTATTGATAAAGAGGAAAAGGAAGTCTGTTTGTAGGAATTACATCGAGTGCGTAGTCTTTTTTCTTATTGTTGGGTTCTCTGTGGAGACTTTAATGTTACTCTTAATATTATGAGAGGAGTGGTCAGTCTAGTTCTCTTTGTGACATCAGAAATATTAGAACCTTGACAGATAAGCTTCTCCTTATTGATTTACCTCTCAATGGTAATCGGTCCAATTTGAGAGCTTCTACTGTTCTTGCGAGGCTTGATTGTTTCCTTATTTCCTCTTATTTTGACACTAAATTCCCATCATCAGTTCAATACTCCTATCCATCTGCATGCTCTGATCATTGTTCTATAATTATTGACACTTCTTGTATTAATCTTAGACCTCTCTTTAGGTTTGTAAAGGCCTGGATATCTCATCCTTCCTTTATCTCGTTTGTTGAGGGATGTTGGAGATCATTTGCTTATTAGGGTTCCCCAGTGGAACGATTAGCTTTCTAAATCTAGATTCTAAAAAAAGACTCAAATGGTGGAAAAAATTTATCTTTGGGTCCATCTCTTGTATTAAGCAGAATCTCCTCTCTGAGATAGTAGCTCTTTCTTTATTAGAAGAATCACAACCTCTATCTCAACTTGAGTTCTCTACTATGATCAGTCTTAAATCTAAACTGTTTGACATTGTCTATGCTAAAGAGGTTTATTGGCGTCAAAGATTCAAATCTCTCTAGCTCAAAGAAGGGGATTCTAATACAGCTTTCTTTCATAAAACTGCTTCAGCTCATAGGCGTAGGAATTTTATTCCCTCTCTTACACATAATGACTACATTCTATTTTCAGAGCATCAAATCAAAGATGCTTTCCACTCTTTCGTTTCCTCCTTGTTCAAGGCTGCTCCTCCCCCTTCTTTTGAGATCAATTGGCACTCTATGTACCCTCAGAACTCTCTCTCTCTCTTTCCCCTCTAGATTATCCTTTCTCTCAGGAAGAGATCAAATATGTTGTCTTCTCTTTTCATCCAGATAAAATCACCAGGGTCAGATGGTTTTGCTATCTTCTTCTATCAATCCTTTTGGGAAATAATAAAAGAAGATATTGATTCCTTTTTAGGAGTTTATATCAAGATTCTACCACCCTTCAATACATCAATTTTGCCTTCATCACTCTTGTCCCGAAAGTGGATGATGCTAATCGTGTTAAGGATTTTAGACCAATAAGTCTTCTTAATGGTCTTTTTAAAAAAATTTACCAAAGTGTTTGCTAATAGGTTAGCACCTTTTTTGCCTTCTCTAGTTGATCATAACTAAGCTGCTTTTCAAGCATGTAAGTCCACCCATGACTCTATCATCTTAGCTAATGAAATGATTAACAATTGCTACTCTAAGAAAAAAGAGATTTGTATTTTCAAAATAGACTTCATGAAAGCTTTTGATTGTATAAGTTGGTCTTTTCTCTTATCTCTTTTAAGAGCTAGATGTTTTGGACCGAAATGGTGCTCGTGGATATAAAATATCTTTTCCTCTTATAAATCATCCATTCTAGTAATGGTTCCCCTACTGATTTCTTTCCTTGCTTTAGAGGTCTTAAGCAGGGAGATCCGCTATCTCCTATATTATTTATATTGGTTGTTGATGTTCTTAACAAAATGTTAAGCAATAGTGTAGATGTAGGTGACTTGTCTGAACTTCACCTTAAGGGTCCTCTTAATTTCATTCGTTCTCTGCAATTTGCAGATGATACACTAGTTTTCTATAGAGTAACTCCTGAGGATATCTCTACTCTCAAAATGATTTTCTATCTTTTTGAAGACATATCTGGGCTTAGTATTAACTATGCTAAGATATCTTTGTTTTATTGTGGAAAACTCTATGGTAGGGGTTCCTATTTTGCAAACACAATGGGATGTTCTCTTGATTCTCTCCCTTTCAAATATTTGGGTCTCCCTCTCAAACTGGGCTCTCTCACCAAAAGAGAATGACAAACTCTCCTTGATTCTTTTTCTTGCAAGTTCTCTCTTCAAAAAAGTAAGCATTTGTCGATTGGAGGTCATCTTGTTTTGGTAAATTTTGTTCTATCATCCTTGTCTCTGTATTATGTCTTTTTTTAAAATTTCCTAGTTGGGTGATCAAATTTGTTGATAGATTACACCAAAATTTCCTATGGGGTGGGAGATCTTCAGTTAGTAAAGGCAAAGCTTTGGTTAATTGGTCCCATATTTGTAAACATAAAGAGGAAGGGGAATTAGGTGTTCTTAATCTATCAAACTTCAATTTTGCTTTATTATCTAAATGGGTGTGGGAAGTCTTGAACCATATGATTCTTTTGTTGGTAATACCATTTCGGCTCTTTATAGTCTTCATAACTCTCCTCTTTTTAGTACACCAACTTCTTGATCAGTTTCTAAGTTTTGGCACGATGCAGTTTCTAGTAGCTTGGCTTTGAGGAGTATGGTGAAATGGAACTTGGGTGAGGATACTAGAATCAGATTTTGGGAAGACAAATGGGTAGGAAATTTCACTCTAGCTAGTTGTTTCCTTGAGGTGTATAAATTAGCTCTCTCTAGCAAGGTTAAGGTGGCTTCCCAGGGTCTAATGAGGGGCAATATGTGGACTTGAAAACCTATCCTCAAGCGAGCTCTCACCATTTCAGCTTATGTTCAATTAAATGAATTGATGGTTTTGTTGTCGGATGCTCCTCCTATATCTGATATGCCAGCCTCTCCTTCTTGGCCTATGTATCAAGAAGAACATCCCCTAATAAGTTTCCTTGTTTTGAATGTAACCCTCATAAATTAGAACCGAGAAGTGGTAGAAAAAGGCATTTTGAAATATGTTCGTGGTTTAGTAGGTTTAGCCAAAAGATATTGGGTTTTCTGCAAATATAAAACAATTTCTCTATGAAATATCTCTACTGTCTTCTTAATTCTGGAGGCATTACGTTTGAGCATTATAAGTTTATTTGGTCAACTTATTTACCTCTCAAAGTAAAGATTTTTAGTTGGCTATTGATCAAGAATAAACTTCAAACGAAAGACAATCTGATTAAGAAAGGACGGGTAGGAGATGTTCTTTGTTCGGTTTGCCATGAAGTGGAAGAATCTGCAGACCACTTATTCATCAAATGTCAGTATACTCAAATATTTGGTAATTCTTTCTGCCTTCGCTGGGTATTCCTGCTTTTCATAATGATCTATCTCAAATGTTGAAGTCTAAAAGCCGGTTTATCTTCGATAGTAACTATCAACTGCTTTGGTTCATTTTATTGTCTACTTTGTGTTGGTGCCTATGGAGAGAAAAGAATTCTATGGTGTTTAATGGAACAATTAGAGAACCATGCAAGGTGGCATCTAATGTCGCATATTCTCTCTTGTTCTTGCATGATAGGTAAATCCTATCATAAGAAGGCAGTAAGGATGAAATCAATTATTCAAGATAAGAAGATAGAGGAGCTTTTGAGCAGCAGTGAGGATCCATGCTAATATCTTTGGAAGCAGAAGTGAGGACTTTCTCAGAGATTTGTTTCTTCATTTTGGGTGTTTATGCAAAGATGTTAGGTGTTTTCTTTGTTGTTACTGATGGTGTTATCAAGTGCCGGATACTTTATTGTTATGCTTCTAATTTTTATTTTTGATAGGTATCCTTTGGTTTAGATTTTGAGTTCTTGAAGGATTAGGGGAGGTGACGACTATGGTCCTCTTTCTCTCCCATTTAATTTCTCTTAATCTTGCTTTGGATATATATATTCCTATATAAATATTCTGATCTATAATATATATCTTTCGAAATAGGGTGCCTTGCCCTATTTTATACTTCAAAAAAAATAAGTAGAAAATAATAACTGTTTTACCAAAAATAATTTGAAATTGATTTGCACGCATATGAATCATTGAATTATAAAAATAATGCATTCAACATAATATTTAAATAAATAATTATTTAGAAGCAAAATAGAAATTAATTAAAATTTACTAGAATATAATGTTTCATACACCTCGGTGAGTATTGTTGTGAACATATAAACTCTTATAATTAAAATCAATAAATACCCCCAAAAAAATCAAGTAAACAATAAATATATAAATTTCTTATGAATAAGTTAGAATATCAACAAATGTATTG